TCACCCCATTTTCTTAATATTTAAGTAATTTAATTCGATAAGTCGGTTTACTCGATAAGTCGGTCATATGAGCTCACCCCCACATGACCGACTTATCAAGTTTACATATGTAGTTATATTATTATAATTTTTTGCATTAAATAATATAATTTAATCATATAGAATTTTTACCTTTATTTCATTTGTTTTGGAAGATTCAGTTAAATTGACTTTCCTAAATTGCAACTTTCAATGAGTGAAGGTAATATATTTGTAAGCTTTTATTATTATAAAGGCAGTTAGGTGGAGATTAAAAAAAAACATTTTGTTATTGTTATTTTTTTCCATTCTTGTAATGGCATTAGCTTCTACAACTGTAAAATCGTTGTTTCTTTGGTACTAAATTAAATTAAGGTAGTTAATTTAAATAGTATTGTTTTTGAACAATCTATTCGAAATTCGATCATTTGTTTATTTATTTTAGTGGATTCGAATAGATTTTATTGAATCGATTGAATGATGCGTACACTACAGCAAAAAATTTGGGGCAACCCATGTATCAATTGCGCAAAAACGCACATAATAAGTACACAAAAAAAAATATCAGCTTGTAGCCTAGGTCCTGCCTGTATAATACGAATGCAAATCTCGTGTTTCCTGAGTTTCCATATCATTTATTAATTAAATAAAGGAAATTCGATTATTTGAAAAAAAAATTAATTCAAACTTTACATGCGTAATTTACAGGACCTAAACCACAAACTAGTTTGTGTATTAGTATTCATCACGTTAAATTCTAGGAAATATTTGAACAATGTAATAGCAACAAACAAATGAATTATGGATCAACAGCATGTGTGTACATTAATATTCCCCTTTTAAATATATATTAATAGTCCAATTTCTATCCAATTGAAAATAAAGAAATATAACAACACCAATATCATTGGTGAAATACAATTTTTTTTAAACGATAATCTATTTGTATGTTGTATCAAAAATTTACGTAAGACATGTATAAATATTTACGTTTTTTTTGTATATATATATATATTCATTTAAAAAATAATATACTTTTAATGATAAATATTTTTGCAAAAATTAATTGTAGTAAGCAAAATAATTGATAAAACATACATAATATTTAAAAGATAATAATCAATGGGCTTGAATTTCAAAAATAGCAAACTTCAATTAATATTTGTTATAATATTTATTATTAATAATGCATTTTCTGATTATAGTGCAACACGTTATGCAGCTGTTAGTGTAGTGGTGGAT